CCTGGCATTAATCTTCACCCATCTTCAATTTTGGGAGGCAGAATTGCAACTTCAGCCATATTCAATTTCGGGAGGTGGAACTGCAAGTTCAGCACTGGGCTCCTGCAAGTGAACAATATCCCTTCCCCCAGAAAAGCAAGCCTGTAGCTTCTGTGTCTCAGTGACAGCCCTTTTGCCCTGGAAAGAAAGCCCTTAGCTGTCACAGGGCAGAATGCACATATCCCCAGTGTTTCAGAGACAGATGGTGGGCTGCCAATGCCAGGTATTAACCAGAAAGATCTTCCTTTCTTGGTACTTTTGGCTTGGGAGCAATCCCTGAACATAATACATTTTGGAGGTGGAATCAAAATTTTGATGGTGGTCTCCCGGAAGAGAATGACGGTTCTTTCCCATAGGAAGGACATCGTGTAACCCCAGTGTATCAGGGAAAGAGGATAAGTTTCCCGTAGCAGGTAGAAACCAGCAAGACCTTTCTGTCCTGGCACCTTTGTTCTGGGAACAATCCTTGAATGTATACAATTTTGGACATGAGGTAGACATTTGGGTGGTGGTCTCCTGAAAGAGAATGACAGTTCTTTTCCATAGGAAATAATGCACGTCGCCCAGGAACAGTGTTCTGGCAGCTTTGTATGAGATCAATCATTGGATGTTTCCTGTTTTGAGGTAGTGGTTTTTCCTGTTTTGGGTGGTCTTGGTGAATTTAATTGCTTTTCCTGCTCTACAGTGCTATTGGTTTGAGCTGTTGAACATTCCAGCTGTTTTACATTCCCAGTACAGTGGGAATGTAAAAGCCAAGCTGTTGACCATTTTGTCCTGGTGATTTTAGTATCTGAGCATTTAATGGTAGGGTTTGGTTTTGGATCTTTACTGACTGAAGGATTATGATGGAATGTAGAGCTGTGAAGGAAAGTGAAGGTACCAAAAGTGTTTCATGTGGTTCGGTGGGTGCACTTGAAGGTGCAGCCAGCAAAAGTTTGCTCATTTGACACTTTTGTGAGCTGTATTTTGCCAAATGTTTCCAATTTTGTAGCTGGACTCTGCTAGAGGGGAGAAAAATGATTAGTATATAGAACTGGGAAGATCATGTTGCCCTTTGAGTGTGGAGCAAGTAAGAATTTGCACATGAAAGGGGAAGGTTAGCAAATCCTTTCTGTTCTGACACCTTTCCTTTCAGACTGGTGACTAAACGTTTTCATCTTTTGAGCTGCAATGCAGGTGTCGTTTGGTGTGTACACAATGCGATCTGGTGGAACTCTTGAATTATGACATTGGGGAACGTCCACAAGATAGTGCTGTAGACTTGAAAAAGACGTAAATGTATCATGGTTCGCTCCAAACCATGTGAAGATACAAAATTGAAAAAGTCCTCCACTACCCTCAAGGACAATGTGCCGACAGAGAACGATTTCACTGAATTGACCTTCCATTTACAAAAGTGTTCATACAGCAATCTAGCTGTCTGAAAACTACACCCCTAACATTGGTGCACTACACCAAAATCAAGTGACACTCCTCTTCCTCTAGATAGCCTGTAAACCACGCTCCCACTGCAGGGCTCTACACAGCTCTTCTCAGCTGGAAGTACCACACAATTTCAAGACTCACAGAGGCCAAAGTGTCCATCTCCCTCTCGCTCTTCTGTGCCAGGGGCAGAGTTAATTGTGCACCACATCTCACCATATATGCAAATGAGCTCAACAATTTGCACCTATTCACCCATCAAAACTTACAAGATGTTCAGATTAGCCCACCAATTAACAAACAAACACCAGGCAACATGACATGAAGTTATATAATCCCAATTTTGTACCTACTCACGCAAAATACCTAATCAGTTTGACAAACAACACCCCTAATTAACACCTAATCATACACCAGATGTCATCAGAAATGCCAATAATCCTGCAAACTATCATCTAGTTATGCACATCTAACTGGATATGCAAATTAGTCACAATTAAAACTGAACTCTACAAAGCAATTAGCACCCAATTACACTCAACAACAAATAACACCCAGAAAATATAAACCAAATAACCCAACTACACCATACCGCAACCTACAACACAAATAATAAAAAAGCAATTAAAGAAATCACACTTAAGAGCACCATCTTGTGACAATACCAACAATTTCAACTAAAAATTTACATTCAATAGTGCTACCTTGTTAACCAAAAAGAAAATGACAACAAACCCCAAAATCAAATATGCAAACGAGCACCCCAATTATCACACCAGCCACACTAAGAAACCCTAAGAAACACAAACCCCCCCCCCAAAAAAAAACCAACAAGGAATCATCTAAATGACCAACCCAAATGATCCAACCTAATGACCAAACTCTAAATGACCAAAACTGACATAATCACACCCTAAACCAGACACACCCACCACAAAACGCCCTCCTCAGACCTTTGACCTCAAACCTTAAATATCTGACCTTCTCAAACTTTAACCTCTGGCCTTTAACCCTGGGACTTTTCACCCATGACCCCCTGAATTTGACCTTTCACCCCTGACCAGGGTCACACATTAGAGTCACAAGCAAGGGGTAGGGTCACAGGTTAGGGTTACACTTAGGGTCACAGGTTAAGGTTAGGGTCAGGGTTAGGGTTAGGGTTAGGGTTAGGGTTAGGGTTAGGGTTAGGGTTAGGGTTAGGGCTAAGGTTAGCTCCTGCTGCTTGTGAAGTCCCCAGAGTGGTCCACGAACTGCACCTGAAACCCAAAAGTTACAGCCTGTCTTTCCTGGGTGAAAGGGGTGTCATCTGCTTGTGTAAACCATGCTCTGAAACTGCCAGTCTGACTTCCAAAATTAAATATGGACAAAGATTTCTCCAAGAGAAAAGGTGCCCAGACAGAAAGCTCTTGCTGTCCATGGAGTGCCCTGGGTGGCCTACCAACTGCATCTAAAACTCATCTTCCTTTCCTGCGGGAAAGGGCTTTGTTTCGCTTTCCAGAGCTGTGCACTGATATTGCCAGTCTGACTCCCAAAAGTTAATATGGATGAAGATTCCTCCCAGACAAAAGGTGGCAAGACAGAAAGCTCTAGCTGCCCATAATATCCCCAGGGTGTCCCATCAGTTGCATCTGAAAACCAAAGGTTAGAGTCTTTCTTTTCTGGGGGAAAGGGCTGTCGTTCAGTTGCAGGAGCCCAGCACCTAAATTGCCAGTCCTGCTCCAAAGGTGAATATGGACAAAGATTCCTCCTAGACAAAAGGTGCCATGACAGAAAGCTCTTGCTTCCCACAGAGTTCTCAGGGTGTCCCACCACCTGCAGCTGAGAGACCGAGGCTAAATCTTTCTTTTCTGGGGGAAATGGCTGCCATTCCCTTGTAAGAGCCTTGCACTGATATTGCCAGTCTGACTCCTAATATTGAATAGGAATGAAGATTACTCCAAGACAAAAGGTGCCAGGACAGAAAGCTGTTGCTGCCTGTAGACTGCCCAGGGTGGCCCACTACTGCATCTAAAACCCAAAGGCTACAGGGTTCCTTTCCTGGGGGAAAGGGCTGGTGTTCGCTTTTTGGAGGCCTGCTCTGAAACTGCCAGTCTGACTCCCAAAACTGAATACAGATGTGATGGTTTAGACTTGGCTCTCAGCCAAATGTCTAAACCTACAGTGAAAACTTCCCCTCTTCTCCCAGGGCAAAGGAAAGAAAAACTACATAAACTGACAAATTCCAAAGGCAATCGAATTATATCAAAATATATATTTTTACATATATCACAGTTATATACAATTAAAATACTATGTACACAGCAAAGGGACAAAAAGAAAACTAAAACAGATTTGCACAATCAAAAACCCAGGAACAACTCAATAAAGAACTAATAAAAGGAAATCTTACTACTCTCCTTTAGATAGCAGAATTGCACCAAAAAGCTGGCCTCCCAAGGCCGATGAGGCCTCACTAGGCCTCACTCCTCCACATAGGCAGAACCGACAGCAGAGAACCTGCACCTTCAGATCCACTGGAAAAGAGCAAAGGCTTCTCTCCCATCTTATTTATACCCTGCTTTCTGTAAAAATTGTATGGAATACTGGAACCATGGCCACTTCCTTCGTTACGAGCTGGCTACCAGGAAGGCCTAGATTAAAACTATCACAACGAAAGAAGGTTCCTCCCAGATAAAAGGTGGCAGGACAAAAAGGTCTTGCTGCCCATGGAGTGCCCAGAGTGACCCACCAACTATACCTGAAATGCAAAATTTACAGGCTTTCTTTCCTTGGCAAAAGGGCTGTTGTTCACTTTTCAGAGCCATGCACTGAAATTGCCAGTCCAACTCGCAGAATTGAATACAGACAAAGATTTCTCCAAGAGAAAAGGTGGCAGGAGAGAAAGCTTATGCTGCCATTGAAATGCCCAGTGTGGCCCACCAACTGCACCTAACACCAAAGGTTACAGGCTTTCCATCCTGGGGGAAAGAGCTGTTGTTCGCTTCCCGGAGCCATGCACTGAAATTGCCAGTCTGACTCCCAAAACTGAATATGGACAAAGATTCCTCCAAGAGAAAAGGTGCCACAACAAAAAGTTCTGGCTGCCCATGGAGCGTCCAGGGTGTCCCACCAACTGCACCTAAGACTCTAATGCTACAAGCTGTCTTTCCTGGGGGAAAGGGCCATCATTTGTTTGCAGGAGTCCTGCTCTGAAATAGCTGGTCTGACTCCCCGGATTGAACACAGATGAAAATTCCTCCCAGACAAAAGATGACAGGACAGAAAAATTATGCTGCACATGAAAGGTCCAGGTATCCCACTACCTGCACCTGAGACCCCAAGTGTAAGGGCTTTCTTTCCTGGGGGTAATGGCTGTCTTTCACTTGCAGGAGCCCTGTGCTGAGGTAATAGCTGATCTGACCTCCCAGATTGAAGACAGATGAAGATTCCTCCCAAACAAAAGGTGCCAGGAGAGAAAGCTCTTGCTGCCCATGGAGGCTTGGAAGAATGTTCATCCGTGTTTAATCTGGGGAGTTGGACCAGCTATTATCTTGGCACAGGGCTCCTGCAAGTGAACAAAAAAATTAAGACCAATGAAAATTCTTCCCAGACAAAAGAGGACAGGATGGAAAGATCTTGCTGCCCGTAGAGTGTCCTGGGTGTCCCATTTCATGCACCTGAGACTCTGAGGGTAAGGGCTTTTTTTCCCTGGGGGAAAGGGCTTTTGTTTGCTTGCAGAAGCCCTATGCCAAGATAATAGCTGGTCTGACTCCCCAAATTAAACACGGACGAAGATTCCTCCCAAACAAAAGGCGGCAGGACAGAAAGCTCTTGCTGCCCATGGAGTGTCCCACACACTGCACCTGATATCCTGAGGGTAGAGGCTCCCTTTACTAAGGAAACAGGCTGTCCTTCATTTGCAGGAGTCCTGCTCCTAGATAGCTGGCCTGAACCCCCAAATTGAACACAGATGGTGATTCCTCTCAAAGAAACGCTGAAAGACAGAAAGCTCTAGGTTCCCAATGGAGTGCCCTGGGTGTCCCACCAACTGCACCCGAGACCCCGAGGGTTAGGGCTTTCTTTCCTTGGGGAAAGGGCTCTCCTTCACTTTCAGGAGTCCTGCAGAGAGATAATAGCTGGTCCAACTCCCCAGATTAAACACAGGCAAAGATTCCTCTCAGAAAAAAAGTTCCAAGACAGAAAGCTATTGCTCCCCATGGAGTGCCCTAGGTGTCTCACCAACTGCACCTAAGACTCTGAGGCTACAGGCTGTCTTTCCTGGGGGAAACGGCTCCAACTGAGGAAATATGGAGAAAGGAAAAAATAACAGCCCTTTATTAAAGGATACATGTGTATTGGCAGAACAACAAAAGATCACAGAAACAACTAAACAATAATCCTGTACTCAAAAGTCTCCTTCAAACAGTTCAATACTTTCTGCCTTTTGGCTCAATTCCAGCCGCAGTCAGCAGGGGGCACTGTTGGCTCACCGGAGGAGCAGAGCCTGCAGTGTCTCAGTGTTGGCGGGCAGGGGGCGCTGTTGGGCTCTGGCAGTCACCACGTGAGCCCCCGGTGCGTGGGAGGAGCCAAAAATGGAGATCTGCCCCCACCCAGAAGGGGAAGGGGAAAAGGGGGGAAAGGGAGTTCTTCCCATGAAACTCAGTCTGTGGCTGGCTGTGGCCACGATTTCCCCTCCTTTTTCGATGGACACACTCTGCTATCAACATGAGCAAAGGAGGGAAATGGCAACCTCCTCCCTAAAAGGTTCCTCTGCAGATGGGTCAAGCCTCTCCGATGAAATCTGGGCAGATCTGGGCTGGGGGCAGAACAGGGTGCAGGAAAATGGAGGCAAACCAGGGCCAGAAGCAGCCAGATGACCAGGCTGAAACCAAAGTGAACCCTGGACCTTTCCAACACACACCCTCCCTCAGTCAGGGCAAAAGTGAAGTGCCATTTCCCAAGGAGAGGGAAAAAAACCTCATCACTTCTCCCCAGCCCTTGTCCTTTGAATGTGGGCCTGCTAGCTAGTTCCTTTGTGTGTGTCAGTCACCCTTTGGCAAACAACTTTCCCCTCACTCCTTCTACATCTTTCTTTTACAGCGATGCAGGGGAAAGAAAAAAAAAAGTCCCCCTTGGTTTTTTTAGAACAAGTAAACAAACCTCTGACACTTTGGTAAATGATTTCTTTGCAGTGTCAGAGGGACAGAATGTAAAGCAGAGATGACTGGAAGAGGTCAGAGGAGCACAGCAAGACAGTGGGCCATTACCTGACATCAGTGCAATGATGTGACTTTTGGCTCTGTTTACGTGATATTTTAGGAGGGTTTTGGTTTAGTTTGGTTTTCCTTTTTTTTTAAGATACAGAGCCCAACAGGTTATAGCCACTGAAGGGGAGGTGAGCCTGTTAAGTACCAGTAAGCAAGGTGAGCGTTGACTCCAGAACTGAAGTAGATGCTCTTTTACAGGTGTTGTGGTTTGGGTGAATCTGTGCTCATCCTTGGTTTCTTGAATTTTATAGGTGGTCTGCCCACCTCTAACAAACAGTCGTGCCAGTAAGAGGTCACCATCGAGAAGAGGCAGGTAGGAGCTACCCCCAGGACAGCATCCTTGTGGGCAGTATCTCAGTATGAACATTTGCCTTCATTTTTTTATTTTGCAGGGAATGTACGCAGCCTCAGAGGGCCGAAGCCACGTGCCAGTTAGGTTTCATGGTCTTCAGCTGTCCTTTTGAGTAATCTCCAAGTACTACAAGGCTCAGCAATTAAGCCTGTTTTTTTTCCGGTTGCAGGTGCCATCTGGCCTGCATTTGGCAAAGGAGGAGTGTTTGTGCTGAGTCGGGGAGGTAGCGAGGGGGAGCTGGGGTCTCCTGTCCTTTCAGAAATGCCATGTAACTTTTTTCCTTGCTCACCTAGGTGCAGCACATGGTGACAGCAGCAGCCTCTGATTCAGATTGGAGCCAGAGACCCAAGAACCTCAGAGTTTAGGGGATGGTGAGTAGCACAACTGTGGGGTTATTGCGCATGTGCTGCTGAGCTCTTGTGTAACCGTCTAAACCAAGCTGTTAGCAAAAAGAAGCTTGCAGGGTTTCAGTGGCAAAGCTTGGAAAACAGAGGCTAACAAACATCCCAGGATCTAAGAAGCTGGACCCCTGTCACAAGATCTATCAAAGTACAACCTTATGGATTAAGCCGGCTCCAGCAGAATCAAGAAAGGACTTTTTGAGATTATGTAATTAAAATTATTTCTAAAACCCCTTAATTCCTTTGATCCTGCTTGAAGAAAAAACCTATTTCGAAACTGTAGTAAAAACTTGTGTAACTTCCTAATTATCATCCATTTACATGCTCCCGAGGCCCTTAAAAATGTGTTTTTGTGTCCAATAAAGCATTCCAGTTTTACTCCGTGCTGGATCGTGTTAGTTTTGTTTTTTAGACTGCTACACTCTTGTGTCAATGTAGTTTTTCTTTCTTGTAGTTGGCTGAGTCACTTGGTGATTGCAGGAACGTCTGAGCCAGCCAGGCGTAATTCCTTTGCATCAAAGATGGTTTCACATCCCCAGCTGTGGGAAAGATAAGTAGAGGACTACCACCTGGAGACTGGGTGAGAGCTGGGTCGAATGTTATGGTTAGGAGGGAAGGATTTTCAAATTAGCATAGGGGAAAGGGTCTGCCCTAATGGGCCCTCAGCACACGTAGAAGGAGCAGCTTACTTTTCATCACTGGAGTAGGGTGTGCAGGGCAGAGCTGTTCAGGTCTGTGTCATGTCCTTTGTCTAAGTCTGTGTTTTGTGTCTTACAATTCACAATCACAATGTCTTTGCCTTCTGCCTTCAAAGGGCTTGTTGGAGGCTAGTTGGATGTGAAGGTATCATTCCTAGTGTCTTGAACATTTGCACTGCTCAGCTGAGTGCCCATACCATCCATTCTTTGCCTTGCTAGCTTGGATATGCATCAGAATCACATGTCAGAAGTGTCAAGTCAGATGTCTTCTACAGCCTCCTTACAGGTTGTAGCGGTGGCCGTGCTGTGCAGTCATCCCTTGTAACTGACAAGGACTTGGGAGAATCTAAGAAGATCTTGAACATAACATTCTCTCACATCCATCTTAGCAATTTTGTAGGCAGTTCTTGTCACAGGACATTCTGTTAGAGCATTTTTTCAGACTCCTTAGAGCCTACTCTGTTCAGTCTCGCCATATCCTCTGTTTTCTGGTGTGGCAGCACATCCATTTCGGTGGTCATTCCTTTCCCAGAGAGTTCTCTCTCCTTGTCACACCCCAGCATTTGTCTGGAAATGAGTCGTCCAAGTTTGTGTTCGGCCTGGAACTGCCCTGCCCTGCAGTGTAGATTTGAGGGTAGGTGGAGTAGAAAGAAAAGTTTAAAGTTAACCAGTTGATAGGCTTAGCCAATCAAGGTACCAGTTCTCCAGTCTTCCCAGAGGCAGCCCCTATCACCAGCTGTCGTGGTTTTGCCCCTCAGCCCATCCCTGGGGCTGAGGATGGTTTTGTCCAGGTAATTTCCGGACAAAAAGGCCAATCAGAAGTCCAGGAACGCCTTTGCTAATTACATCTTCAATAAAACGGAAGAGAAGGTTGTTGGCGCAGTTGGAATTGGTAGCAGCAGCCATGTAGGGGAGAGAAATAGCGGGCCCAAGCAGGGCCAGACTCCCTCCTCCCCCGGCTTGGGCCGGGGGCGGGGAGGAGGTGCAGCACTGAAGTTCTCCCTTCTCTCTTGTAAGAGAGTGAAGAGAAAAAAAAGTTTAAAAGACGGACTGCTTGGACAGAAACTGCTGTGGAAGAATTCCAGCCGAAAGATAACGGAGCTCCCAAGGTCGAAGCTGGCAGCTGAAACTGCAGCAAGAAAAGTAAAGTGCGGAAGGGGGGAGGCTTGTTTCCCCCCTGCCTTTCGCTCTCTCTCCTCAGCAGGGAAAAGACTGAAAAGTAATCCCTGCTACTTGTAAAAGTGTGTTGGAGTAAGGAGACTCCCCATGCAGCTGATAGAGAAGTTTGTGGATGTACCAAAGAGAACCGAAACTTCATGAGAAGGACTGAAGTGAGGCAGAGTCCTGGTGGAGATTTGTGACCCTGAGGGAAACCTGTGCTGGAGCAGTGACGACTCAGGTGGGATACTGAGATCCATGTGTGTGTGTGAATCTATACTGCTGTTGAAGATTTTGTAACTCTGAGAAATCTCATGCTGGAGCGAGACGGCCCATGTGAGATGCTGGAACCCGTGTGTGTGTGAGATCCGTGCCAGACCCATGCCGAGAAGTCTATCAAGGACTGTTCTCCCATGGGGAGGGACCTCCATAGGGAAACAGGGGTGAACTCTTAAACCATTATCCCCTGTAACCCTGTGGAAGAAGATCCATAGTAGGCAAGTGTCCCCTTGCAAGCCTATGGAAGGAAGACCCTTCAGGACCTGAATAACCTCCAGCCTTCAGTCTTAGCCCAGGAGGGGGGTAAGCCCAGCCCTGGAAGCCAACACAGAGCGAAAAGGAGAGAGAAGAAGTTCCAACTGCAATGAAAGTGTGCTGCTGCTGAGGATCTGCTACTAGAAGGAGAAAACTGGAACTCCAAAGATACAGAATGAGACTACTTCTTCTCCTTGGACTAGTATAAAAAGAGAAGAAGTATTTCTGTGTATATATAGCATTTCAACTTGAGTAGAAATTGTTATAGATATAATTCTTTAGTTTTTAATTTATTTATAGTTTTTATTTTACTAGTAATAAATGTTTATACTATTTTCCCCCCAAATCCTGTCTCTCTTTTGTCTGCAAAAAACTTACTCTCAACTAGTGGTAATTATGTGGGGGGTGGAAGGCAAAATTGACCCAGAGCAAAACCACGACACCAGCGTGCATGCAGTCGCAAGAACAAGCTTTTCCAGCGACACTGGGAGCGGTACAGCAGAGCCTTAAAGTTAGGCCGATATTAGTGTAGGTCATCTTTGGACCCCAGATGGTTCGTCTCAAGAGAAGCGACAATTGCACAGCAGTTAATGTCCCCGTCTATATGGCTGGCTTTGCTAACTCATTTCTTTGCAGTGTGAGAGGGACTGGATGTAAAGCAGAGATAAACAGAAGAGGAACAGAGTCAGAAGGTGGGTTGTCATGTGAGGTCAGAGCCAAGACATAGCTTTTGGCCATAGGTTTATTTGATCATTTGGATGGTTTGGTGTTTGTTTTGTTTTGTTTTGTTTTAAAGATGTGGAGCTCTTGGCCCAGCAGACAATAGGCACCCAAGGGAAGGGGACTCTGGTGAGCAAGGTGAGTATTGGCTGCAGGACAAAACTAGATGCTTTTTTGCAGGTGGTGTACTTTTGGTGAATCTGTGTACATCCTTTGTTTTTTTGTTTTACAGGCGGTGCACCAACTTCTAACGGACAGTCCAACATGACAGGGACCCTGCCTGTAAGAGGTCAGGTGTGCAGGGCAGAGCAGTTCCAGTCTGTGTCATGTCCTTTGTCTTGTCAGCTTCTGTGTCGTTAGGGTCTTTGCATCCTGTCTTTGAGGGGCTTATGGGAAGCATCAGTCATCATCCTTAAGCTTTTGAAGGTCCTCCCTCTTTGACCCAGTACCAAAGTTGTCAAGTTGCTTTATTTGCAAGCTCAGGTCTTCTTTGGAATCGCATTGCATTTACAGTCAGACATCTTTTAAGGCCTCATTCCAGGCCATATTATCAGTGGTGCTCTCCAGCCATCCATTGTAAAGCATGGGGACTCATTTTCTGCATCGTTCCATTCTTAGCTTCTGAACTAAGTACTGTCGTGCATCCATCTTCACAGTTTTGATGGGCACTTCTTTTAATGGGTCATCTTGTTAGTGTCTTTGTTTTTCAGGGTCCTTTGAGCCTCTTCAATTACCATGGTAGTCCCATAGGTCGTATTTCTCCACAACATCTCCATTCTTGTCAATGAGAGGTTTGTCTCATAATTGCGTCACAGGGTTTGTGTCATCATGGGTAGGGGATGTCTCATTTGGGCTCAGCCTGGAGCTGCTCTTCCCTGCTCAGAGTCTAATGTAAACATTTCAATTAACTTAGCCAGCTGAGACAGTGGCTGTACAGTCCTGCCAGATGGAGCAGCTGTCTGTAACTTGTATGCAGTCATTAGAGCTGAGTTTTGTGGAGCTGATGGTACTTGCGTAACAGGGCCTTGAAGCTGGTTGTCATTTTATTTCTTGCATGCTGTGGTTGGAGTTCTCATTTGCTAAGTGTAAATGAGATGTTTTAAATGGTAAAGGTCTCAGTGACCACGTGGGTGACCTGACTAATCCTTTTTTTTTTTTTTTCCAGATAAGTGGACAAGATGTACCCCAGACTGAGACAAGTTGAAGCAGCCTAAGAAGAAGATGGTACTTGGTGTTGGATGAAAGATGTCAATTTTGGCTCTACGAGTCCTTCTCTTGTGGCTTTTTGTTTTTTATTTTCCAGATGGGAGGCAGTCGGTCTCCAGGGCTAGAGGCACAGAAGGGGAGATGAGCAAGGTGAGAATTTTACTCCTGGACAGAATTTGGTGTTAATTTAGGATGTTATCTATTTGGTCAATATATGCATATATGTTGTAACTGTTTTGTTTTTTTTTTTTTCTAGGTGATACACGACCCTTTGCCCATCTGCTGAATGTGCCGAAGGTCCATCTGATAAGAGGTCAAGGTAAAGGAGCCTCAGATAGTCTCTACAAGGAGATATGTCAGCATGGGACTCTGTATCTGTGGGTTTTTTTGCAACAGCTTCATGGGGTGTAGCAACACTTCAGTCTGACAGGATTTAGAGGTCTTGAACTTGTCTTGTGAAGAATCCCTAAGTATTTGAGAGCTTAGCAATTGAGCATTTACCTATTCTGTTTGCAGGGGCAGTCTTGGTAGCAGCTGGAAGGAGAGGAGCCTTTCAGTTGAGTCGAGGAGGTAGCGAGGCAGAGAGCAGGTGCACTGAATTTTCAGAAAGGCCAGGTAACTTTCTCTCTGTGTAATTCAGGAATGCCACACTACGATAGCTGTGGCCAGAGCTGGTAGCGTGAGAACCT